GTGTGAGTAATTTGGCTTATATATATATGTGTGTGTGTGTGTGTGTGTGTGTGTGTGTGTGTGTGTGTGTGTGTGTGTGTGTGAGAGAGTGTGTAATGCTTTATAAAATTGTGCAACCTCCAACTCCCAACAAGAAGTATTTTTTTTATTTTTTTTTTTTTAGTTTTATTGAATTATCTGTTGCAAGGTTTTGGACAATTTTTCAGCATGTTCACTGTTGATATTACACATTTTCTTTTTATTGAAAAAATATCTTTTTTTCTTTATATAATTGCAAACTATTTTTGAGAACTTCACCCCCAACCAACATCTCCAAAATATATTTCAACATAAAATTCATGAATGAATGAATAAGTACTGAACATTTCATTTAAATCAGATAATTCACTGATTTTTAATAAATTTTAAAAACTGAGTTAGTCTTATTTTTGCTTTTATTATTGAAAATGTGCATGCATTTTGGTGATACCTAATTTGAGTGCATGCTCGCTTTACTGTCAGCAACTACTGACAATCTGTCTCATCCTTATTTTTTATGCGCAACATACAGTGCAAAAACTTACTTGAATTTTAGAGAAAAAAAATGTAAAATTTGATGGTTAATCACATGTTTACAGCTAACTTGGATACAGTGTCATCTATTCTTTGTCAGAGTTAATATTAAAAAATGACTAAAAACTACTCATGCTTCATTCTGGTAAATAAAATTACATTTATTAAACCATAAGGAATTAGACTAATGTGTATCTTTAGCACTGGATTTTTCTTCTTCCTGTGACGTGTGTCAGAAACATGCCACAAGCTGTAAATATGCATTGTATGGTAGTAAACATGTTAAGCAATAATGTTACTATAGTGATTTTCATTCATTCATTATCATGCATGACCTTCACCTTTATATATCAAGACTAACACTCATCAAGAGTAGGCAGTTACAAATTCTTCCATAAGGGTGTGGGCCAAAAAATGTACTCTTTGTGCTCTCTAGGAATGCCTCTGAAATTTCTAACAGAAAATAAGTATTAAATGATCAACCTCTTGAATTTATATTACACCCACTATCTATTCATACATTAAATGTATTATGAATATTTTGATATTTGCTTACTTGTGACAAGGTGCTGAACAAGTAGAATCCCAAATTGGCTTGACAGTAGAGTTATATGTAGAAAGAAGGAAGGTTTGATAGCATTTAATGATTATTGGAATTAAATTTAAAAAAAGAACTAATTAACATAGTTTCAAGAAATTAAATGAATTGAGGGAGTCTTAAGGAACTCAACATAACTATTAACTTGAAGACAACTTAGTATAGCTTGATATCCTTTTTCCACCATCACCATTTTGTACAAAAATGTTAATAAATTACTTCCTCAGCTGCAATAATAAATTATCTCTAAAAACTCTGAAGACTAAGTTGTTTACATAAAGACCTATCTATCAAATCAATGTGGTTACGTAGGCAAAATAATTTGAGAAAGCTTTCCAAAAGAAAAAAAAAAGCACTGTCAAAGCCAATGATCCATGTGGTTTGTTTGCACAAGGACATATTCACCAGGTCTTATAAAAAGAATAGTTTTCAGGAAAGTCCATAAAAAAAAAGAAAAACAGTCAAATGGCTAAGAGACAGGTGATTGTGAAATTAATGGTCAAATCATACCAATGCATCATTGGTGACAAACTGACAAGCTGGGTTCCCATATAAATAATGCAAGCCAACTAAAGTGGGCAGTCTACAATAAGCTGTTAGAAAGAAGAGACAGCATCAAGAGCAGGGGGCGAGGCAGTTCAGTGTAGGGTGTTGGAGAAGTGTGGGAGAATGAACAGATATGAGAGATACATAAATGGATAAACAAGGCTAAATCATAGTAAGTTTCTCTCACATTAAGAGGAATTAGATAACATACTACTGTTGTTCTATCATCATCATCATTACAAATGAACAATTCAATGTTCAGACCCCTGCTTCAGAATTGGGGACAAAAAAGATGCTTGTTTGAAACATTTATGTAGTAAACAACTTGAATAAACCAAGTATCTTGTTAAAGATATTCTATTCTATGTTATTATTCCAAAACTTTGATTAATTTCAAGAATTAGACAACTTCAGTCTTGTGTGATATATAACTGGCTCAATTCTGAGCATGAGACTTCTTCAGATTTTGTAAACAATGTAAGTGTAGGAGTTTACGCCTTCAGATGTCACTAAACCAATTACTGAAACACAATTCCATCAGTCATGTTTTAAGCAAAGATCCTAATCCTGAAGTTACACAAAGTGTATTGTATTACATTTGGTGGCTGTGCTTTTTACTTCCCATAAACATGGCTGATGCTAACCTCCAGGAGAGTTAATCATTGTGCTATCTTGGACTAATATTTTCAGCTGGAAAGACTATATTGAATCAATTGCTAAGTCTGCAGCTAAGAAAGTTGGTTCACTGGGTAGTGTTAGACAATTTTTCTTGTCAGAATCTATCCTATATATTTATAAGTCGACCATTCATTCTTGCTTTGAATACTACTGCCACGTATGGTCTGGTGCACCTGCTATATATTTAGAGATTCTTGATAAAATCCAAAGAAGAATCTCAGCTTAAGTCTCTTTCCCACTACTGTAACATAGCTTCTCTGTGTCTTTTCTTTGAATACTTTTATGGTAATTGTTCTGATGAACTTTCCTCTATATTATCTAGACTTTATGAATTTATAAGTGCAGTACTAGATTGGCAGCAAGGTTTCATCATTTTACAGTTGCAATGGTAAGATGTAACTAAGTTCTATGCTAACAGTTTCTTCTATCACACTTGGTTCTGGAACTCTCTTCCAGCTTCTTGCTTCCCCATCAACTTTGATCTTCAAAAATTTAAATGCAATGTCAATCATTATCTTCTGACTTCTTTTATTGTCCTCTCTGCTTAATAATAGCTTTTCTCATATTCACTAACACTCAGTAACCTCTTGCGTCCTAGTGACTTAATTGCCTTGCTTGGGGTGAAATGAATGGGGGGGGAAAAAAAAAAAAAAAAAAAGAAAAAAAAAAGGATATTAATACTACAAGAGATACCCCTTCATTTATGGTTTTATGTTTGGAGTGACAAAGATAATATTGATCTCCAGATTCTAATCTCATCCCAAGAGCTCTGCTGTCAAGTTGTAGGCATACAGGATCATCCCAGCAATAGTGTTACAACTTTCTACATATGCTTGTAGTGTTTGCTGTGTCTCTATACAATAATTTCACTAAACGAAAGTTTTTAACATTATAAAATTCAATGATTAATAAATGTTTTCCCCTTACTACTGTAAATATTTAGTTTATTAGTGTTAAAAAATAACTAAAAGCTAAGCAGCAAAATTGCAGAGTAGTGATAAAGTCAATGGACAATAATATTAATAATTAAAACCATGACTCCATATATCAGATACAAATATTACCAGCACTATAAAAAAAAAAAAAAATTTTTTTTAATTTTTGTCCATTGTTACAATTTGATGAATTAATATAACAACTAAAGTGATCAATTGTGACTTATTATACAGTTAAGTGTTAATCATGATATAGATTTCATTAAAAAACTAGTACATTAGAATATTAATATGTGAAGAGTACAATTTACCAACATAGTAAGTAAAGTAAGGTCAAGAGATACCAATGAAAGTGTGATATAGACTGGAAGTTGCAAATAAAAATTTTGAGTAACCAAATTCCCCATAGTCAAGAGTTTGAAACTGAAAACTCCATCATATGACAAGAGATAAGTAGAGACATACAGTTTGGTAGGAGTGAAACTAGTTGGGGTTACAGATTTACAGGCAGAACAAACTGGACATGCATACAATTATGTAGTAATGTTTTTGCTGATACTGTTCATTCTGTACATCTGAAAGAATGATAGAGTTACTAAACATGAAAAATATATATAAAAATATTGTATATAAAGTTAACAATTTATTTCTTTTTACCTAAAGTTCTTTAAGCGCAAAAATCACATTATGATCCAAGTTTAAATCTCATTGTTTTTGTTACCATCAAACAGTGAAGCTGGCAATAACTGAGAGTGATTAAAATACAAAAACTGAATTTTCTTTTTTCTGACATAGGCGTAGGGGAGTTAAAAAAAAAAAAAAAAAAAGCAATAAGAAAGGATTAACTGCAGGTAAAATCTATGGTTGTCAGCAAACAGAGCACAAGGTATAAGTTATGAATTAGAAATATAAGAATCAAGCCGGTACAGAAGTTTAATTATCTGAGTAATGGTATAGCAGATGAACGAAAATGTGACAACTGTCTGAAGGCATATTGGAATAATGAAAGATGCTATTCAGAGGTTAAACAAAGTATTAAGAGATTGAAATTTTGTTAGACACAAAAAAGAGTGCTGAACTGCTATGTAATATCTATCCTACTATATGGCAGTGAATACTGGACAATTTCTTCACAGATGAAGCGAAGACTTGTGACAACAGCAATATGTTTCTGTAGAAGGATGTTGAGAATAACATGAAAGGAGCATGCAGGCAATAAGGAAGTTTTAATGAAAATAACAAAAATGTCACTTGTACTTATAATCAGAAAAAACAATTGAAACACATGAGAGAGAAAAGAGGGCCTTGAAAAGTTAATGCTCACAGGATATTGAAAGCAACAGAAGCAGGTGGAGTAAGTAACCTACTTAATGGGTTTGTGCGAATGGATGGCAGATCAGGGATTAAAGGATAGTAATCATTCAAAAATTACTTAGAACAAAAGACAGGAAGAGTTGTGTACAGCCATGATCATCCATGTCCTCAAAAGATTTGGAACATAAGAGAATAGCAGATGTAACAAAGAAAAATAGCAATTAAAAACTGATACCGTGTTTTTATCTAATGCTATTATTATTATTATTATTATATACACAGATTTTAAGGATGCATGAAATTAAAATTTTAAAGAATACTATGAAAGAAAAAGAAAAAAAGGAATGCAACTGTGAATAAAAAGAAAGCAAACTGACCTTTCAACTTGAAGCTGGTAAGAGGCTGTCTGGGTATCAGTGACAAGATGCTCCAGTCCCATCATCCATTTCCGGTACTCATCTTTATTTGATGCTAAAATTTAAAAATAAAGGTTCTATTGTTCTGAATATCCCAACAAACAAATTTTATATGAATTCATTTAACTGTTTAAACTACAAACTGGGAAAATTCCAAGTTGAACATATTTGTATGCTTGGATTAGTATGGAAATAAGTTATTTAACAATCTTTTTTTTTTTTTTTAGGACACATACTAAAAATAATGTAACTATATATTTTACATTTTATTGGAATTTGCTTTTCTTTAAAATAATCTATAACTCTGTTTTGGTTTTTTTTTCCCAAATAAAATTATCATTTATGCCATTAATTAATATCAGTGATATAATACATGTGCAATATTCCAAATTTGGCAATCATACAGCAGAACTGATTTAAAGAAACCAATTCCAATATTCAACTAATTCTGCCATATTTACATAAGAATGAATCAATAGGTCCTTAGTCTGACAGTTTTTGATCTGAAATGTTCACTGCATAATGTGCCCGATTTTATTAATAGAGAATTTTTAATAAATGTACTACATTTCTTTTTATTAAAGTGATTAACTGGCTTGAACTGAGTCCCAGAGTAAACAGTTAAGATTGAAGGTCTTATAACCTTATTATATTCATAAACTTATATAATTTCATATCTGTGTGTGTGTGTGTGTGTGTGTGTGTGTGTGTCACAATTCATGTAGGAATAGCATTTCTATTTTTTTAAGAAAAGGCCAAAACATTATCTTTGCTATTAGTAAATGAAAGTATTTAGCACAAACAATAAGTAGTGTATAAGTGCTTTTCAGATTATCAAGTTAATGCCACCCTAGTTAACTAAACACCATGAAAAAGCACATTTTCATTTAAAACAATTATCATTGCAGTAATATATCATTTAGTTACTATGAAAAAAAATTACATAATACAAAAATTAGAGTTTCATTTAAATAGTAAAAATTTTATATAATTTCATTACTACAAAAGAAAAGAAAGTGCATGTATGTACATATTAAAGAGTGCTGAAAAGTTCTTTGCTAAAACAAGATAGGATTAAAAATGTTCTGATGCTTGGTTAGATTTGGGAAGTGTTTTTAATAAAGAATTTTTTCAGTACCCATATATATATATATATATATATATATATATATATATATATATATATATATATATATATATGTGTGTGTTTTTTATATGTATATAAAATTTACAAAATTACTTTTCCTTTCATAAATACATATTTTGAGACAGTATCATAAAACTTAAATAAAAATGCAAATATTACATTGCATTTGATGTGGTAGTATTTATGACAAGAGGGTTATCTACAAAAATCTTTAAATGGACAACTAAAGAGCTTAAGTGAGCTGCATTAAGTGGTAATTTCTCAAATGTCTTTAAACCATACATCTTATAGGCTGGCAAATATAGTAATTTTTCTGAATGTCTTTATTTTTCAAAATCTTTTCAAGGTTGTCTGTGTTGAGAGTAAATTTGGTTAGATGCAAAAGAAAAAAAATAATGTCATAAAATGACAATCCTTTTTTTGAAAATATAAAGTTAATATTAATATTCAATAAATACTAAGTCAGAAAGGTTCTAACAGGACTTATTTCATAAGCATACTCTCTACATAGAAATTATGATCTTATAGTTACTTTTTTTATTTTTGTTTCACCTTAGAAATAAAATGACTTTACTGCAATATATATTAAGTGCCTCCACTAATTTGCCAAAAAAAAAAAAAAAAAAAAAAAAGAGAGAGAGAGAGAGAGAGATTAGTGATAAAAAAAAAAATGTCCCAAACTTGATAAAACCTAAATTTTATTATCAAAATCTTTGTTATTATTAAGAGGAAAGATCAAAGTATTTTTTAAATATTTAATTAAATTTTTTAATCTGTTTTAGAATATTTGAAATTTTGATTAAAAATCTTGTTTTTCTTGTGTCAGTGGATAGACTAGCATAACAAATTTTAGCGTATTTTTGTGGTGAAAGACATTCATTTGGAAATTTTTGAGAAAAAAAAAAAAAAAAAAAAAAAAATCAAATAATTGCCCGATCTTAATGAAACTTTCATGACTTATTCAAAAATGAATGAAATTGTTTTAGAATTTTTTTTTTTTTTTTAAGCAAAAATCTTGGTAAAAAAATTTTTTTCACATGTGTTTCACCCCATATATTTAATTTTATGAAAACTTAAGAAATTCTATAAAATTTTTTAGTGACTATATTACTTAAAAGCAGAACTCTTTGGAGAATTAAAATTTTTTTTTGTAATATCAGATTTAGTCTAATCGAAAATCTGTTCTGAATCATAAAATAAAAAACAATAACACTAAGACATTATTTAATTAGAAAAGCTTTTAATTGCTTTTATGAATAATATATATTAAAGGCAATATTGTCTTCAGAAAAAAAAATTCAGATTAAAAAAATTAAAAATTTTTACAAGATGCATTTCATTTTTTTTTACAATTTTAATGATTTATAAAGATTTTAAATCTTTTAACATTCAGTTTCAATGGTGTAACTGTGAGGCAATACTGTTATTAAGTAAAACTATATTTACTACTTATATTTATGAACCTAAATATTTTTCAAAATAACTTTGAATTGTTTTTGTATATGTATAAACGTGTCAATTTTTGTTGATACGAATTTTCATACACAACATTATCAAAAAATAACAGTGATAACTATAGTAAATTTAAAGCCCACATTCTCTAAAATTGAATAAAGATTAGATTACAGCAAATAAGATTATTGAGTATTTAAAAGCCACTTGCATTATATTCATTTATTTTTTTAGGGGTAAAGCCGCCATAGAACATTAGATAAAAATCTGTCTGTCATTGAGCTGTTAAAAAAACAGCTACTCGTGTTAAAGAAATGGATTTCTGTGATATTTTAAACATAAAGTAAATAATAGTTGTTTAAAATCAGATTAAGTATACTTTAAATCAGTTAATATTCCTAAAATAGTTTCAGAAAAGAATATTTCATTTTTGGAAGAATTTTTAATAAAGAAATTTACATTTTTATAACAGTTTGCTAAAAATGCTGTGAAATTCAAAAATTTTAGAAATTTCAAAACGAAAACTCCTTCCAAACAATTTAAATTAATTTTGAAATGCAGCATAGTATTTTGCTTATTGAAAATATTAAGTTTAATCTATCAGCTTGAAATTAAAACTAAAATAAAAGCTTCAAGAAAGATTTTTCATTTTAAAAAAATTCATTTCCTGACTTATTCAAAAATGAATTATTTTAGATTTTTTTTTAACAGCTTGGTAAAAAAAAATTATATCATGAATCTGTGGAGGTACCTATTCATATATATGTGTGTGTGTGTGTGTATATATAAAATATTTTGTGTGTATTTAATGCTTCAATATTTACACAAAAAGTGATTAGTTATTTGCTCATTTGTAATTGTACTTTTATGATGATGTAATAGAAATGGAATTTTTAAACTTAACAAAATATCATTAGCTTAAATTATTTTAGTTTGCAGATAAATCGCTAATAATTTTGTATTTGAATTGTACTTGTAAAATATTAAAAATGAAATATTAGTTTTTTTTTCTGATGGATGGGTATGATTTTAAAAGCATTATTGCTTATCTTTACATTAGAACATCTACTATTGTGCAGTGGTTAGTGAGTTGTTTTCAGTTATTGAGTTCTATTCACAGTAAATGCTCCACAATTGTAACAAAGTTGCTTTTTTTACCCCCCATGTTAGCTTAACTCAAGAAGTCTTACATTTATTTGTGCTTCAGGTTTACTTATAAAAACATCAAAAAATTATATTTCTATCCTAAATAATAGCATAAAAGGCTTTTGGTGCTATTTTTGCAATGGCAAATAGACAATTTTATTATGAATATAATTTTTTGATATAATAAATTAAGATGTAAATAATGACATTTTGTTAAGTTTAAAATTACAGAAAATTACATCATAAAAGTACAGTTGCAAATAGCTAATCACTTTTTTGCATAAATATTGAAGTATTACACACACAAAAAATAATAATTCTATCCATCATTGAGCAATTATGGGATTTATTTGTCAAATTTAATAGAAATTTTTGTTTCTAATGCATCATAAAAAGTGTCCACTACAAAGTGAGGAACACCCCTATATGGATTCTTCTGGTGAAATAGAAAAGTGTAACACACACACACAATAATATGCATGTACATATATATATATATATATATATATATATATATACATACACACACACAGAGAGACAGGCTGAAAACAAATATAAGCCCATTTCTTTTTTTTATTACAATTCAGAGATTCTCTCTTGGTATTGATATTCATACATGAATCTATGGTCAAATAAAGCTTTAATTATTTCATTAATAAATAATAAAAATCTACTTGATTTGTGTACATCTAACTTACTGTTAAAAAATTAAATTACTTCCAGTAATATACTATTGTTTATGATAAGTTAGAAAACAATTACAAAACAGATTCAGTTTAATTCCTTACCATGTTGACAAGACTTATTTTCATTCTTCTGCCAGTCTGGATATTATCAGTCTATGAAGAATGAAGGATTTTATTTTTTTTTTTTTGGCTTATCAACAAATTGTGGGGGGGGTGAACATATTTTGGATTGTAGGAATAAATCTTTTTTTGTGAGTGAATTAACAATTTTTTTTTTAAGAAAAACCATAGCTGGGGGAGGATGATATGGATTCATACCTTTCTCAAGGGTATTTCCACATAAGTGAATGTAACCCAACTGGAATTTGAACTTGGCACTCCAATTTCTCATTCCGAGCCAACACCTATACATCCCATTTTCTGAAGAGTTAGTTTCAAAAGATAAATGTAGCATGAGATTTTGCTGATCCACAACTATACAAATTTTGCTGATCCACATCTATATTATATTACTTCCCAGAACTTAAAATGTAACATGTGAACAAAAGTTTCCAGACATTTTTTTTTCCTTTTGAAAACTAGAGACTAAAACAGTTTATATTCTGAAAATTTTTGTACACTTAATACATGGAAGTGTTGAAAAGTTCTTGCCGGATTAAGAAGGTATTCCAAGAAGAATTTTGATGGTTGATCATTTAGCTAGATTTTGGAAAGTGGGTCAGGGGTCAAGACATTTTTAACCTCTTCTCATATGATACTGTAAATCAAGAAAGAAAAGACATACATGTACTTACCAGTAATAGATAAAGTATGTAGTTTGAATTCTGAACCATAAAATATCACAAAGCACAAATTCTTGTCCATTTTTCTGGCCTCGTCTGCCCATTTGTCAAAGTCTTTTGAATTTCTTCCTGGACGAATTTCTTTAACTTCTCTCAAGTCAACTGCAAAAAGAAATTTTGCTTTTAACAATTTTTTCCCCAATATTTTCAGAAAAAGAAAAACTATAAGTATAATTTATTGACTATAACAAATTAAATTGAAAGCTGCAAGAGTTTAAAAGGTAAACAAACAATTATATAGGTCATGCAGTAATTAGTATTATTTATCATAACTAAAGGATAATACTAGAACGAGAGTGAGAAAATGACAAGTAAATTGCAAACATCCCTATCAAAAATCAAGATAGGAAACAATTTTATTTAAACAGAAAATATTTTTTCAAATAGTTGAAAAGATTTAACAAAAATCAGACATTTTAATCAATTTTGCTTTTTTGAACAGTCCCAGTGAGATATTCACAGTATGTGTGTATTAATCATGAGGCTTTACATTAAAGATCAGTAATAGTTATTTATCACCAGATATTTTTCAGCAAGTTCATTCTTTTTGAACATTGATTTCTAATATAAACTACTTGAAAATTGTGAAATCAGAAACTTTCTTCATATAGATATTCTACAAATCACATCAATCCAATATCAAGTGACCAGGACACAAATTCAAATAACTGAGTATAACTCTGGAAAACAAAGGCATACAAAAAACAAAAAAAAAAAAACAAAAAAAAAGACACAACAATAGTATATATGACCCTCACACACACATTAACAGGGAGTATTAAGATTATTTTTTTTTTATTTACAGGTATTTAAATGTTCTGTAAATATGTATCTAGAGTCTAAAAGAGAAAAAAAAAAAAAAAAAAAAGGGAAAAAAAAGAGGGGGAAAAAAAAGGGGAAAAAACAGAGGGGGGGAAAAAGAGGGAAAAAAGTGAAAGAAAAAGAAGAAAAAGAGAAAGAAAAAGAAGAAAAAAGAGAAAGAAAAAGAAGAAAAAAGAGAAAGAAAAAGAAAAAAGGAAGAAAAAGAACAAGAAAAAAAGGAAGAAAAAGAACAAAAAAAGAAAAAAGAAAAAGAAAAAGGAAAAAAGAAAAAGAAAAAAAGAAAAAGAAAAAAGGAAAAAAGAAAAAGAAAAAAGGAAAAAAGAAAAAAAAGGAAGAAAAAGAAGAAGAAAAAGAAGAAGAAGAAAAGAAGAAGAAAAAAAGAAGAAAAAGAAGAAGAAGAAAAAGAAGAAGAAGAAAAAGAAGAAGAAGAAAAAGAAGAAGAAGAAAAAGAAGAAGAAGAAAAAGAAGAAGAAGAAAAAGAAGAAGAAGAAAAAGAAGAAGAAGAAAAAGAAGAAGAAGAAAAAGAAGAAAAAAAAGAAGAAAAAGAAGAAATCTTGACTGCAGGAAAAAAATCTTTAATAATGATTTCAACAGCATTTGGGCAGACATTTGCCTACCTCAACTTCACATATGATACATGTAAGGTGGGATGTTTTTTTTTCTTTTTTAGTCATTTTGGCCAAAAATATAGAAATATGTTAACAAATATAACATTCTTTTCCTTCACACCATAACATTTTGCAGCACAATAAGGTAACACTTAATAGAAATATTTTTCTATTACTTAAATTTTTCCAATTGTTGCTTAGAATGTTTAAAAGGTTTTTTAGAATGGCATAAGAAAAAAAAAAAAGAAAGAAAGAAAAAAAGTAACCATTGACAAGATTATATAATGATGATTAGAAAAGCAATCTCAATAAGATGGCTCAGATTTTACCAGTGACCATAAAATAAAAAATAATTACTTTTTGTTCACAACATTCAAAGCTTTAGAACAGAATATTATATTGAAAGAATAATTCAGATTCAATATTTTTATATTCACTTGATCAAAAATTTTCATTTTTCTTTTTTAAAACATAATTTAATCATATCTATACTTCACATTGTCTTTCCATTTAAATAGTGGGGTTATTATCATATATTAAAAGAATTCAAGGAAGAAACCTTTTTAAATTCAAATACCCTAAAATATTGTTTGTAACTTTTCTATCTTGATATATTCAATTTTAAGCTCATTTATTTATATATATATATATATATATATATATATATATATATATATATATATATACACAAAATATGTTAGCTATCTCTGATATTGAGCGCTTTCTAATAAGTACCCGCGTATATAATATATAAATAATTGTACATATATATATATTTATTTATATACACTTTTCACACACACACACATATATATATATATATATATATATATATATATATATATATATATATATATATATTTTCAGAATAATTAGTTACATCAAATTAAAAATAGTTCTTAGTCAGAGACTAAGAACTATTTTCCAATTGTCCTTTTTATCCAATTTGTTTTATCTTCAGAATTATTCCGAGAAATTTAACAATATTGTCAAAAACTCTTCATAAAAAAAAGTTACCAATATCCAGGAAGAGACTTACACAGGAACGTCTTTTCAAAATTTTTTGAATTTGATGTAACTACACAACATTTTGCTTTTATTCATCATCACTTGCCTTGATAAAGTCAAATGACAAAATGTGTTGGCAAGGACTAAGAAGTATTTCCCTATATATATATATATATATATATATATATATACACACACACACACACACGTCAGTGCCATTAAGTTGCGCATTAATAAACCATGATGTCACTTAAGTTGTGCATGTGTGATGGACCCCAAAACTTTTTGTCATGTTCATATTAGAATCATAATCATTAGTAGATCCCAATTTGAAACAAATTCAAACTTGATTGTGACACTTTTTAAAGTGATTTTTTTTTTTCTGTATAATCTCTTATTTTAATAAATTCATTGAGTCTTAATACCTCCATATTTTCCCAAGCATTTACTATTGTTTAGGCTTTGGCATTTCATTCACAATTGTGTAGTGGTTTGGATTAACACTTTGCAGACATTTTCAATGTGAAATATGCAGCTTACAACCTTTATCCTAACTTAAAAATTTCTCAACAGAATTTAGTTTAATATCAATAATGTGCTTTCCCAGATAATTTATATAATCTGCAGAGAAGAGCCATTTTAAATCCTGCTTCAAAGATTATTAATGGGGGACATCATTGCAACCAAATAACACCTTTCAAAAAGTTTCAAAAAGTCCATAAATCCTCTCACATTAAACTTTTGTATAAATACAGGCAAAAATTAAAGTTTTGCACAGTGTCTCTCTAGATATTATATTGATCACAACATTTTTATACCTAGATATTGATCTATCATCATGAAATGTAAACACGCCTCATACAGTGTTCAACAAAAGCTAAACATTGTTGAAAGCATATGAAATGGCACAGCTTGCAGCAAAGTCTCTAAAGAGAGGGGTGTACCAGAATCTACATTAATAGGTTGGATCAAAAATGAAGAAAAGCTACAAAGTTTTTTAGATGAGCTAGACGAAGGAGGCTTGAAGAGGAAAAGGGCCAGAACTGCCAGGGATCCTGATCTTGACAAGGCAACATTTAACATGTTTTATGAAGTTAAAAATAATGGGATACCCATGTCAGGGCCCATTATATACAAGCCCAGGCCGAGAAAATACATCAGCAACTTCATGGTGAAAATGCAGATCCTGAATTCAGCGTATCTAGTGGATGGTTGAGAAGGTGGAAGCAGTGCCATGGCATAGCACAGGTAAAACTAAGCAGTGAAGCAAGGTCGACAGACACAACACAAGCAGAGTTGTTCATACCAAAGTTTCAAAATTTTGTGCAACTACATCCTGAGATGATATATAATGCCTTTTACTATCGTATCCTACCAGAGAAGACCCTTAAAGTAAAGAATGACAAGACAAGTAGAGAAGACTTCAAGAGTATGAAAGAAAGACCTGCTCCTTTTCTGCTGCAACATGGCAGGAAGCCACAAGTTACAGCCCCTTTTACATCAGTAAGTTTCAATCTCCAAGATGTTTTCATCATGTGAATTTGAAGCAGTTACCAGTACTCTACAGCAACAACAAAAACGCCTGGATGGCATCAACCATTTTTAAAGACTGGTTTAAACAAAACTTAGTTCCAGCAGTTTGCCAGCATCTGAGAAGTTTGGGGTTCGAAGAGCAAGCCTGCCTGCTGTTAGATAACTGCCTAGCGCACCCACCTGCTGAGAGCCTAAGATCCAGAGACAGGAAGATTTTTGTTTACTATCTGCCAAAGAATGACATCAAAGATACAGCTACTTGACCAGAGAATCATCTCCATATTCAAGTCCGACTATAGACATGAGTTGATAAAAGCACTGGTAAATGAAGACACCACAGTTTCAGAGTATCTGAAGAATCTGAACATTAAAGATACATAGTATCTTTGCGGTGTAGCCAGGAAAGCTGTCAGTCAAGAGTGTATCATTAGGTATTGGGATAAGACATGGGATTAACAGAAGTAAATGAAGACGACGACTCTGTCAGCCCCGAGTGTGAATTTCAAGGCTTTACAGATGAAGTGAAGGCAGCTGAAGACTATGATGGAAACCGCAACAGTTCGTGAAATCTTGTCAGCCTGGTTGATGTCCTCATTGCTGGGTCTCTACTAGCAGAACAACAAGATAAAGAAGAGGTAGAAGACAGAGCCAGATACCAGCCCACCCAAGTCAACAGCCAAGCTTGTAGAATATCTGCAGTACAGCCTGGAATTTTATTAGACTGTTGGTGATTCAGTAAAGATTTTACAACTACAGACTATGCTTAGAGATGCCAAGAGAAAAGAGAAAACAACAAGAAGCAACTTCCCATTACTGAATAAATAAATTTCTTAAATAAAGTGTTATTATGAACTTTATTTTTATTTTCCATTACATACATGTAAATTTATTAAAAATGTTGTTTTGTATTAATTCATTGCATAGAAACCTGTGCTTGTATGTTGATGTTACTACGTTGTATTGTTATATTATTTTTATTAATACATTACAATACAATGTATTGCAATGTTTTTATTCAAACTCTTAAAACTATAAAAAAAATTAAGTTTAT